TGATCATTATAATTTCTGTATGTTTTAATATAGAACATTTGAAAAGTTTGTAAGATTCTAATTAAAAAAGTTAATTTATCTTATTTATGAATTAATGAGTCATATTCATTTAATTATCAAAACATTACTGCCTGGTTTCATAAACCGAGCATAATCAAAGTATAAGCTTTAGTTAAAATAAGGTATTTAGGGCTCTTTTATAAAAAGGACTCAAAAAAACTCGCTGGTTTTCATCTTGAAACAAAACATTGAAAGAGACATATTTGTCATTTCTAAGATATTTACAGTTAAGACGACATGCAGTTATTCTGGATTAGCCTTAAAGGTGCAGTAATCTTCCGAAATGCTAACCGCTTAGCATATATCATGTCTCAGAGCGTGCACTGAGACATGAAAGCAGACCACAAGTTCATGTCATTCGCCAGTTAGAAATGTAGTTAGTGTTTGGCCACACTTATTTCAGAGCGAATATTCAGAGTAGCATGGTAAACAGTCTAGCGAGGCTGTCATTGTTCATTGTTGACAGGGACGCAAAGTTACAACAATTCAAGGGCCCTCACATTTTGGGGCTACGGCACCTTTAAGCCTTGTATGTGAAACACTTTATTTTAAATAGTTATAATTTTTAAATAGTTATGTTTCATCTTTTAGCCATTCAGACAATCTCCTAGTGAGAGCACTCTAAGCTTTAAATAAAAAAACAAACATTTTTTGGCCATTTAAAGCTGCAGTAGATGATTGTCTAAAGAATTTTCTTTTTTTGTTGTTTGTTTTTTTTGTGCTGGTTTAAAGTCTCTTCACATTCCAATAGTACTGATTAAAATAAATTATCTAAATGTATTTATTAGATTTTTATATTCTGGGTGAGGCATAAAACTAAAAAATGTTCATCCAATTAATTATTGTTGGGCTGACATTTTCGATAATTCTGATAGGTAGTGCTAAAAAGTCTGTCAGCAATTGTAGATTTGTACATCTGCAGCCGTTCATGACACCATGGATGAAGGTTTTCTTTTAGACAGCTAATGTTGTTTGAAAACTATTTTAGTCATTTAGTCATTAGTCAGCTGATGTAGATTTTTTGTTGTTACAAATTGGTTATATGCACAGAAGTGTTGTTCAGCCACTGAAATCTCCCAGTGAAAGACTGATGTGACTATTTTCAGTTTCATAAGTTATTCTTGTTTAGTTTAACAACAAAACAAATTAAACAGCACTATTCAGCCTATTCTACATTGGTGAGGTTTTATATTCACAACACATTGGTTCATTTTTGAACAATGACAACCTGCGTTGCGCTCTCTATATTGTTCACCATACTACTTTGAATACTCTGTCTGAAATAGCATGCAAGTATGGCTTAGTAATAAGTGTAATTCCTGCACCTAGCCAGCCAACCACTGAGCATACAGATAGTCGCTTTAGACATTGTAGACACATCATGTGAGAGAGACCTTGCGTGCATGAAATATTGCACATTATGACAAGTTTTGCTAGCAAACTACATAACTGAAAATGTGCTAGATAGAGGTGTAAACCTACACTACAATTATTTTAAAAGTAATAAAATAATTTATAGCATTTTAAAAGTAGTGTATTTATCTTTTTAAATGTTCACTGTCATTTTAATAAGAGCAAATTAACTTTTATTTAAAAACTATTATTTGTACTCAGTCTTTGCTTGCTTAAGTGATGTTTGCCAAGTTTTGTAAGAAAACTCCAGAAAAACATGTTGCTCTCCATGAACTATATGGGTGACTCTATAGTTGCAGGTACATACTGTAGTGACCACGGTTATCCTTTTTCTAGCTTGTAAAAAATTGTTACATCTTACATTTTTGATTATTTATAAAATGTCTTAATCATTTTCAAAGATCATATTACCAAAAATCATGAATTCTTAATGTTCGAATTAGTCAGTGTATTTTTCCATCATTGTGCAATCAAAAATAATTTATTTTACTTTTCTTAAAAAAAATTCACCAATATTTTAATTTTAAATGTTTAAACTGTAAACTGCCAATACTATTACCACAATTACAAAAGGAAAACTGAATATTTCATTAATCACATATTGGACAAATTAAAAATATTTTAATCCCCATTTTATTAGTATTATGTGATCTTTGTAGTTATAGCAAGTAGAATGTTTGGCTACAAAGTTGTAAAACTATGAATTGTTACAGTCAATTTAGTAAAAACCCATTAGGATTTTTCTGGCTATGATTTATTATCATTTCTAAACATTACTAAAATCATTCATGACAGAGTTGACAAAAAAAAAAAAAACTTTTATTCCCTAAAATTAAAACAATTAATTATTTATGTTTAGCAAAATGAATTATAAAAGATAAATATGCTCTATAAGATACTGGAAATAATTGCTGTTTTTAAAGAGTTTTATTCCTTAACTTTTTATAAATGTAAAATATACATGCAATAGAATCACCCATATTGTTTTTTATGCATCTTTACAATAACTGTAGTGTTGTCACTATGCTGGAATTTACAACTTTGAGATGATACCTTCAAAAAATATCAACCATATCAAAATATCAATATTCCATACAATTTTCTATATTTTGTGATTTAAAAAAAAAATCTTAATGTTAATTTTAATTATTATTTATTGCACCAGAACCAATATGGACATTAGTATTTTTAATTACATGAACTAATTTTTGAATAGCAGATTTTCTTTGCATATTAGCCTAATTATTAGTGGTAGATAATACATTACCATTTATAGCCTAATCAAAAAAAAAAAAAAAATCAGAGTTTATTTCACATATAACATGTTTTAATCGACACACACAAGGCGTTTCACATGCTTTATCATAGTGCTCTGTGTGTGTGCGTCCCCCTGCTCCCTGAAACATCTTGAATTATCAATATTTATTCTATTCATTATTGAATTCTGAATTTTTAATATTGCATTGCACTATTGTTAACCAAAACAGTTTAGGATATCTTGTGTATGATTTTGACGTTTTTCCCTGATCAGTTAAAAGGTTCAATAATAGAGGAGATCACATATGATAATTAGAGAGATTTAAAGGGAAAAAGGAAAACACGTCAATCGACAGCACTTTAAACGGCTTTCCTATTTAATTAATTAAATCAGTGATATTGAAATGAGTTCACTTACTAACCTCTCGATATTGTTTATACAGATGAAGGACACGAAGCAGCGCGCGTCAAGAGAAGAGCATGCGTTTAGAGAGAGCAAAGCAAAAGCAAGATTATGGGCCCTATCATACACCCGGCGCAGTGTGGCGCAAGGCGTGGAGCAGCAGTCTTTTGGTAGTTTCAGCTTGGCGCAAGAGTCGTTTTGAGGCGTTGCGCTACACTGTTTAAATAGCAAATGCATTAGCGCTCATTTTTTCGCCCATAGGCGTTCTGGTCTAAAAAGGAAGGCGTTCTGAGGCAGACCGCTGGCGCATTGCTATTTTGAGAATCTATAATAGATTTTTCATTAGACCAAAACTAACCCGGTCTAAACTCCGGCGCAGAGTTGCGCCTCGCTTACACACTGCTTAATACGCACAAGAGAGCAATAGGCAAATATCTTTACATATGAAAAAATGTAAATATTAAGGATATATATAGGATATAATAAGTATAGATATAGGATATAAATATAAAGGATTAAAATATTACAAAACATTATTTTCTAGCCTACATAAATAGGAAAAACCACTGCTTTTATGTTTTCTTCTTATCGGGAGTCTTTTTCAGTTCATTCATAACAATTTGCTTTTGTATAATGTTATTATTATTAGCAGTATTATTTATTATATCCATATTTATATTTATATTTGTTTTATTAAAAACAAGCTTAGATTTGCCCACCTGTCAGGTTTTAGACTATATGGGGCACAGCATGTGTTTTAGGATATAACTCAGGTTTTTGAGCACATTTTGCTATTATTATTCATTTATTCGTTTGCTGGAAATTAGAACTGAATTTAGAAATAGTTTTGAAACGAATATTTGCGCTTAACAAACAAAATTATTTATTTATAGACTAATTGATGTCTGTGCGTAAAGGTTTCCCTATCCAAGAGCGAAAGTGAAAGTGATCCATTATCTCTCATTCCCACGCAGTAGATGCTCTGTTTAACAGTTTTCTGTTAAAAACTGTTAACTGTTAACTGTTTGCTAGTGAAATGTTCATTTTTTTCCCACTTAGACCTACTTTGCGTCCTGTAAATATCGAATGCGCTCTTAGCACGACGCAGCTGACTCTTAAAGGGAATGGGAGATGAGACTGTAATTGATTTATTCTCAAAACACCTATAACTCATTAAGAAAATAAACTCAACCCTTTTAGAACATGCGCCGCGGCGCAAGGCAGATTTTCCGTCCTTAAATTAGAAAAAAAACGTGTCCTGACACGCCCTGAAAGTGTTTGCGCCCTGCGTTTTGCGCTTTGCACATGGACCGTCAAAATAGAGCCCTATGTGTGGATATGTGTCGAAATATTGATGTTTTTGACACGTCACAAACTGCAACAAAGTGCTTTGGACTCTTTTGTGAATTTTGTATGTTGCACTTTGCATGAACTTTACTACTGAAACTGCCTGTGATTTGTCCGTTTCTGTGCGTCATTAACAGATAGTGATTTTAATATTTGCTCTTTCCGTGAGAAAAATGCTATAAATGTAATGCCCAATACATCCTCGCGATTATCTCACTCAGTGCTGCTAAACTGTTTGTGTTTTTAGACTTCCTATTGTATGAATTACGACTGCATAAAATTATATTAAAGGGAAGTGCATTTGGTAATGCGTGCTCATACGCGTGATGCGCACAGAAACCTGCGCTCTATGCTGAATGGTTTCTCTTTCATCTTTTGCAGCCTGAATCAGTTACAAATATTAAAACGGAATACTTTATTCAAGATTATAAAGGAGTCTGGCTTGCCAAAGCATGTTTTTTGAAGCTCACGATCACAACTTATGCTGCTTTCTCATGAAACGCATCGGGAAAAAAATTGCTGTTATCTGATGTAGGGCCAGGGTGGGCCAAGCTTCTGACTGGGTGGGGAGCTGTGGAGCCGGGCCTGCGAGCGAGTTCTTTCTTACACCCCAATGATTGGTCACGTGCTCAACAGAAAGGGCTGCGATTGGCTCTAACGGTCTGGTGCTGTTCACCAATGAGTGACGCGGCTAAGCGGTAGTGGTGATAACAGCGGCCGTGATAGACGCAAAGGAGAAAACTTGCTCTGCAAACATGCTCATGTCTGTATCCAGAAGTATCACTTTAACAGCCGAGGAGAGGAAACTACCTCATGCCAGCAGGTCAAAGGTGCACAGAGGGAGAGAGAGAAATGCCGCTTACTTTCAGTTACTCCGTAATTTCAGCTTCTGCTGTAAGTGTCAGTAAAAGACTGTCCAGCAAACACACGCATTTAAATTGTGCACAGTTTCTGTGTTTTAAGCTTTGTAAATACTCATGCTTGCCTCCCTCGCCATAGTAAACTACCGCGACAGGACATTTGAGATAAATTAAATCACTAAACAATAACCGGTTATGATTATAACTGAATCAATACCAAATTGTCCGCGTCTGCATCGCGGTGCACCGAAGAAACAATTAATTTTGACACCCCTAATAGATATAGTACAGTTTTTCCATTTAAAATTGTAGCATTACAAAGTACTATAAAGTTTTCTAACTGGCGAATGACATGATCTAGTGGGTCTCTGTCATCTTTAATGTGCGTTCATGATTTCAAGAGGCGTGGAATTGGATGGCAGGGGAGGGATTGTGTTTCAAAGATATTATGCTAACTGTTAGCATTTAGGCAGATCACCTACTGCACCATTAAAACTTGACTCTTCTGTTGTTTCAAGTAAGACTGACAAAATAAATGAAAAGTTGCTATTTTCTAGGCCAATATGGTGAGAAACTATAGTACACAATAAAAATACAGAAGAGTCAACTTTTAAATATGATCAATATTTCTTTGAGTGAGATGCCAATGGTCTTATCCGATTTAATGGTTTATGCTAAGCTAAGCTAACGGTGTTCACACCATACCCTGGAAAAATTAAGATTAAAATTAAAAATTATAAAAAACAAAATGTTTAATTTTAGGGAAGTTGCAATTTACAAAAAAAAAAAAAAAAAAGCGAATGTAAATGTCACTTTTTTTACATACTTTTACACACACAGAGACACATGCAGTACTTGTATACATGGTTTACAGGAACACTGCATAGATGTAATGTATTTTATACTGTATAAACTGTTTATTGTTTGGCCCTAACCTAACCCCTACCCTGAAACACAACACTCACAGAAAACCTGTGGCAAAATTTTAAGCATAACTTTTAAGCATTTTGAATTCCAGAGACAAGAGTTGCATCCCTGTAAACCACCTTAATAGAGTATAACCAAGTCATATCAATGCTATTATAAATCTTGATGTCCCTGTAAATCACATAAACCTATACACACACAGTCACTTATTAAAAAAAATGTGTTGGGTTCATACCGTTTGGGTGGTGAAATCATGCATTTCCACAGAACAGTGTAGAGCGCTAACAGAAATGCTATAAACACTGCAGCAGCGATCGCACCTGCAAACACACACACACACACACACACACACACACACACACACACACACACACACACACACACACACCCCGTCACACTGCTGTCTGAAAACATGCATCAGCAAAGTCTCATAATTGTTTCTTCCACACAGAGAAGAGCTCAAGTTGCTATTTCCCTCAGAGATCTATTGTTTTTTTTCAGTGAAAAACTGCAAAGTGGACACTTTAGTTCTGTTAGTAAACATCAGATGTACTAATCGGAGGCCTGTGAAAGGTCAGAGGTGGGAGAGAGGAGCCTGAGAATCAGCATATTGTGACAAACACATTCATGTGCTGTAATGAGGGAACAGAAGTAGAATTTCAGACATGACATGGAAACCAGTCTGAGCCTGAAGGAGAGGGAAAAAATACAGCAAAGCAAAGCTTTAACGCTGCATATTTACATACAACACCCTGATGTTCAAATGTGTCAAGTTTTTCTTTAAAAGTAATAAAATTATGGTTTGAAACATTTTAAAATCGCATTATTTAATTATTTATCTTAAATGATGCAACAAGTATTTATGTAGAGCTAAACTACATACCCTTGAGACCTTAATTCATCTTTAAATTTCATCTTTAAAATTATGATATGTATGCATGTATGTATGTATGTATGTATATTTTTTTATTTTTTTTTTAAATCTATGAGCTCAAAGTCCAGAAAAGGCACTAGCAACATCCTCAGAACAAGCCATGTGACTTTAGTTGTTCAACTGTAATCAAATTAAGCTCAAAAAACAATTTTGTGCCCCAAAAAAAAAAAAAAAAAAAAAAACATACCTGTAAAATGATTTTGTTTGCCAAAGTGTTCCTTTTAAGGACAGCAGTGCAACACGCAAATGCCGTATTGCGAGCTAGTAAATGTGCACCCTAACATGACACAGAAGAGAAAACATTGGCAAACAAAGTCATTAAAACGGTTTTTGTTTGTTTTGTTGTTGCTATCTATGGAAGATGAAAGAGCTCTTGGATTTAAAATATCATAATTTGTGTTCAAAAGATGAAAGAAGGTCTTGGAGGTTTAAAACAACAAAAGGGGAGTAATTAAAAACTATGAAAAACTTAGGGTGAAGTCATATTTTACATTTTAATCATCAGGAAATGTATGTATATTTAAAAATTTTAAAAAAGATATATATATAGTCAGAATGATTACCCCCCCCCCCCCTAAATTATTAGCCCCCCTGTTTATTTTTCCCCAAAACTTCCGTTTTAACTGAAAGAACTTTTTTTTTCAACCCATTTCTAAACATAATAGTTTTAAAAACTCCTTTCTGATGACTGATTTCTTTTATCTTTGCCATGATGACAGTAAATAATATTTGACTAGATATTTTTCAAGAAACTTTTATACAGTTTAAAGTGACATTTAAAGGCTTAACTGGGTATTTAGGTTAACTAGGCAGGTTAGGGTAATTAGGCAAGTTAATGTATAACTATCGTTTGTTCTGTAGACTATCAGAAAAATATAGCTTAAAGGGGCTAATAATTTTGACCTTAAAATGGCTTTTAAAAAATTAAAACTGCCTTAATTGTAGTCGAAATAAAACAAATAAGATTTTCTCCAGAAAAAAAAAATATCAGACATACTGTGAAATTGTCCTTGCTATTTTAAACATAATTTAAGAAATATTTAAAAAAAGAAAACAAAATTTAAAGAGGGGCTAATAATTCTGACTTCAGCTGTGTGTGTGTGTAACAATGAAAAAGAAAAAAATCAGCTCTATATAAAAATACCTTAAAGCAATCTTACTCAACAAATAGTTAAAATCCCTTGAGTAATTTTGCATTGCTTGTACCTTTACAGAAACTTAACCACAAGTATATTAAATTTAAAAATACTTTGAATGCACAAAGTATTGTGCATATGTTTGTTTGTTTGTTTGTTTTAAAATCTGAGAAAATCAGAACTTTAAACATTACAAATGTACTTTTTTTTCAGCTGAACAACCTTTTTCTTGGCATGATTGAGCTGCGCTTGATCAGTTTGTTACGGCTACAGTACAGATTATAATTTAATTAATGTAAGCACATTTATGGCATTTATTCAGTCATACAACTTATTCATTTTATTTCAATTAAATAAATCATTTGTTTTTATATTATTGTTATTATTATTATAATTATTATTTATTTTATTCTAAAAAAGACAAGTTTTAAATACTACAATAAATTAAATTTATTTACAACATACAATTATGCATAAAAATATGGATAACTTTTACACAAATGTTATTGTAAGGATGCAAGAAAGATGATTAAACTATATTGGTAGTAGAGTTAATCAATTTTCCCTTTGTTAAAGGGGTAGCACAGAGTGTATTTTTAAGGCTTGGTTGTGTTTATAAGATGTAAAGCAATGTGTGCTGATGATTCAGTTATGCAAGATTTTTTCATATATCTTCCTTTGATTATATACAGCTACTCAGCTAACATGAAACGGTTTCTCTGAAAGGCCCGCCCTCAGGAGGCTCAGATTGGTCAGCTAACATAATGTGCTTTGATTTGCGGAATGGCTCCAGGAAGCGTCTTTGTTATAACAATATAGCACATCTGGCCACACCCCTTTGCTACTGTATGCGCATAACTCATGATCTTATTAACCCGGGTGTATTTTTTTGTAGTCCCCAAACTTTGTTCGCTGTAGGCTTTGATAAGCTAATGCTGTTAAAGCCAATGTCTCACTTTACATTAAACTTTGAGCGTATTACATTCAGAGATGTTGTTTATGTCCACACAGCTAAATTACGCATCAACTAAACTTTAAATATTATATCACAGTAGACCACACCTTTAAACATGTTTTTTTAGATGGACTGTTGCATTGGTTAGCTTAAGGAAAATTAAGACCTGTTTAAAAGTATTTAAGACGTAAAACACAATTTAATGGATCTAAATTTTAAACCTGAGGCACAAATTTTGGTTTTTAACATTTAAGACATTTTAAGACTTTTTAAGACCCTGCAGACACCCTGAAAATAATTTTTACTGACAAATCAACCCAATCTCACAAGGAACTGTTACTTTTATTTACCATCAGAAAAGTGTCCAATTTGTACTAATTCAAATTATTTAATTCATATAAAAACATGATTTTTAAAAGGAGGCGTGTCCCCAAACCCCACTGCTAACCCTACCCCTCATTTGGGGATGAGCAAATTATACTAAATTGTACAAATAGGATCATAAAAATTCTAATTAGCCACCAAATCAAAAAGCTGCAAAATGCAGTGAGATTTCATTAATCATTTGAATAAAACCTGGTGGTTTGAAAGATAGGAACAAAATTTTAAGATTTATTTGGTGATCTTTAAATTAATGTCATAAAACTGATCTAGATATGCCAGACTACATATTTTGCATATAAACTGGTATATTGAATTATATCTTTCTTTATTGTTTTGATGTTTGCTGTGTCTATAAATACAGTGGTTTCTAGGTGTGATATTTCTAGACAAAAATAACCTCATCATCTTTATCAGGCAAAGGAAGATACAAGTGCTGACATCAAGTGATTCATTTCACACTTGAATTCTGTTACTCTCAGAGCACACAGAAGAAAAACACAAACATCACCCAGTGCATAAAAACACAGAGAGCTGAGAGGTTGCAGATAAGTCGTCTTCCCCAAGCGTTTGTTTTGACAGGACTTGTTTTGTGGGCATAAGCCACATGACAGTCACACAAAAACACAGATTTAACCTTTAGGCAGAGCCACTGAAAAGACTTTGGTCAACCTGATGAATGTCTGACTGACAAGAAAGAGATTGGAAAAAACTAATTAAACATGTACTTCAATTAGCAAACAATACTGATGATAAATTCCTAGGAGGAAAGTTGAATTGAGAAACATACTACTGTTTAAAAGGTTGAGTTGTCTAAGATTTGATAGTTTTGAAAGAAAGTTAATAGCTTATAATTCTCCTCAGTGCTGCATTTGATTAAAATACACTAAAAAAAGTTAAACATTAATATTCAGTAAATGTTTTCAAATTGAATGCATTTTAAAAATATTAAAAATAAAGCATGTAAAGTGAAGTTTTTTTTCAACAGCAAAACTAAACATTGACAGGGTTTCATGATTCTTTAAACATAAAAACTTTCCAATATGCTAATTTTATACTCAATAGACTGTTTGTATTTTTGTTGAAAATGTTGTTGTTGATCCAGCAAACACTAAATATTGTCCAACCTTTATGATTTTTAAAAATTATTATTACTATTTGTATTATTTATTTTTTTTTGTCACTTGAGAACTAAATCCCATTCTAGAAACATTTCTTCTTATGTCTAAGTTATTTTACAACCATAATAAATTACTAAAATCATTACTAATTTATTATTTATTTGTCACTAAATGTTAGGTTTGGGTAATTTCTGTGTGGAGCTTGCATGTTTTCCCTACGTTCGCGCAGGTTTCCTCCTGGTGCTCCGGTTTCTCCCACAAGTCCAAAGACATGCGGTACTGGTGAATTGGGTAAAATAAAGAAAAAACTAAAACTAAATTGGGTAAACTGTCCGTAGTATATGAGTGTGAATGGATGTTTCCCAGTGATAGGTTGCAGCTGGAAGGGCATCTGCTGCGCAAAAAATGTGCTGGATAAGTTGGTTCATTCCACTGTGGCGACCCCACATTAATAAAGGGACTAAGCCGAAAAGAAAACAATTGAAGGAATGAATGTTAGTTTTGGGATGGCACTGTCACCCTACAGTAAAAAGGTTGCTGGTTCGAGTCCTAGCTAAGCCAGTTGGCATTTCAGTGTGGAGTTTGCATGTTCTCCCCTTGTTCACGTGGGTTTCCTCCGGATGCTCTGGTTTCCCCTACAGTCCAAAAACATGCAGTGAGTTCGAAGAACTAAATTGGCCATAGTCTATGAGTGTGCGTGTGAATGCAAAAGTGTATGGGTGTTTCCCAGTACTGGGTTGTGGCTGGAAGGGCATGCGCTGCATAAAACATAAGCTGAAATATTTGGCGGTTCATTCCGCCGTAGCAAACCCTATTAAATAAGGGATTAAGCTAAAAGAAAATTAATGAATGTTACAATATGATAACTTACACAGATTCCGGATTTTAGGTTTATTACTCCTTATAATTTAGGGTAACACCAACAAAAATAAAGATTCCAGAACATACAAGAGTGAGTATTTTTAAACATTTTCTTTAAATAACACCTATTATTCAGAATGTTTTATAACGGTTAGTTTTGGGGAAATTTGTACAAAAATTAGGTGTACATTAGAAGAATGTTACAATAATGTGAGACAAACAAACAAACTAGTTTTCTGCAATGAAACCTTTGGCTGACCAAAATCAAACCCTAATAATAATAATAATAATAACAAATGTTAGCTTAGGTGCTGCAACTAGCACTTTCTTTTTTATAAATTAATTTATCTCGAGTCGTTTATGTTTTTTTATTTATAGTATTTTAAGGATTCTTAATTAGAAAGTTCAAAAGCATATTATTTAAAACATTAATTTAAAATAAATCTTATGTAACTTTATGGGTGTCTTTTTGATCTCTTAATTGCTTTAAGTATTCATCAAAAATATTAATGGCAAGGCAAGTTTATTTATATACACAATAGTAATTTCAGGTGCTTTACATAAACAGGAATAAAAGACAGGATAAAATAAAAACAACAAAGAATAAAACTAAGATAATTACAGATTAAATTGTGTTCAACTATTATTAAAAATGGAACATTTTACTAAACACATGCTAATAAAATGATGGTGTTTCACTTTATGGTGACTGTGGCCCCGTTTACACTAGTGCGTTTTAGTTTTAAAACGGCGTTGTAGAATGAAAACGATCCGCGTCCACACTCGCGTTTTACCCAGCGTTTCTGAACAGCTCTCCGTCCACACCAAAACGCTGAAAACGCACATCACGTGACCACACACACACTCTCGAGCAAGCGGTCCAGCATTTCTACCCAGATGAGAGCTCTGTTTGTCGGACTGCTCATCAAGCATCTCCCGCTGGATCTAATCTCACTATATTTGCTAAACGTGATATTTCATTCATGTTGTTGTCTTTATCTAACGACATAGGCCAATTCCCTGACTTTGGTCATTGGAATCTATTAAGTTACTTGTTCACGGGTAACATGTTTTGGTTAAGCGCAAAAATAAGTTAATGATTAATCCAGGCACATTGACTGATCGCTTGCCTTTATTTCCTACAATGTATAAACTTATTGTATGTTATACTTTTATAATTATCGATTATTAAAACTGATGTTCAGCAAAAGAGAGGGTGCGTTTGTATTTTCACTGAAATTGAAAGGAAACAGTTGTTATTGGCTCCGTTTTGTTATAAATGTCCACACAGTGAAGATGACGCTCATATATGCAGCACGACGCCTCAACATTTCTGCTGTCTGTTAAGTTGCTAATATTAAAAAGAAAATAGGCAGTTATATCATGTTTACATTTTATTGTTGAGAAAGTGAAACAACGTAGCCAAGGTGATGTGAATGAAGTTATAAAGTACACTGTTCCCTTTGAAGATTTACCCGTGTCCTCGGTATGTTTTCCATATCAAACTGAGAAGGGGGAGACTGCAGCCTTGATCAAACTTGCGAAGTCTTAACTTACAAGAAGAGGATGCGAGACTGAACTGTGTGTGGGCTACTTAATATTGAGGAAAAGCCCCAATCAGATAGGCGAACGTTTGCAGCCCCGCCTCAGTTTTAGAATGAAAACGGCCTTTCCAGCGTTTTCAAAAAGCTCCGTTTTCGGCGCTTGAGAACTCCGGCGTAGTGTGGACGGATGGCGTAACCGTAGCAAAACTTATGCGTTTTCAAACTAAAACGCACTAGTGTAAACGGGGCCTGTGAAAAGTAGTACCTGGTATGATTCCACTCTGTCTGCTCACTGGAGTGTCAGCAAGAGGAGGTTTACCGCCAGTCACTGAGCCTTTAAAGACAATGATTTTAGAAAATGCATATAAATAAACACCATTAACACGGCATCATTATTAAGACTGCTTAATGCATTACCATTTCTAAAGGAGTTGGAGGGGAGCCATGAAGAGACTGGAAAAATCTAAAAAAAAGAGAAACAATTGCTCAATGAGTAGACAATGGACTTGATTCAATTGCAAAACTGTTACTGTAAGGGTTAAATAAAACTGAAGGGGTTAAATAAAAAAGTTGAAACATATATTATTTGTTCAGACAGACAGATAGATTAAGTCTAGCTCACGCAAAACTGAAAATTCTGTCTTTATTTACTTGTCCTTCACTTGCTCCAAACCTGCTTGTCTATTTTCTTCTTCTGTTGAATGCAAAAGATAGTGTGAAGAAAGCTTGAAAACCTGTAACCATTAACTTTCAAAATATATGTTTTAATGGAAATCAATGGTTACAGATTTTCTCAAACAGATTAAAGAATCTTATAAAGGTTTGGAACCACTTGAGGGCGAGTAAAGAATGTTGCGTGAACTATCCCTTTAATAAATAAAAATTACAAACACAAACATACAAATAACGACAACACTGATATAATTTTTTAAAAGATCTTCCCATTTAGTCAGTGATAAATATTCTAAAATTCCTCCTGGAGAGTGATGTTACATATGAAATGAAAGTTGTTTTTGAAAGCGTGGCTTTATTTTGAATAACAGCTGTAAAGGCCAGTGCTCATGAACTCTTGAGACACCTACAGGTATCTGTGTGAACCGGGGACGTCAAATTCCTATGATCAGTCTTCATTTAAATGAACAAACAGATTAAATGATTAACTAATGAATTACCTGGGCCCGGTTTTTCAAAAGGTTTAATCCAAATAAAATTTATCCGGATTTAGTAATCCTGTTTTTGCGATCCGTAATCACGTAATCCAGCTTACTTTTTGAGCCAGTTTTTCAAAGCAACATCGGATTGGATCAATCTTATCTGGATAGGAACTTTTCAGGATCACTAAATCTGGATAACCAGCGCTCAAACAGGATAGGACATCACAATGTAGAACTATAGATATGTAAAGATTAGAATAGCCAGCATGGGGTCAATATAACTTTATTTTTATTTAAAATGAAAACTAAGAAAATTTGATAATTATTTAAACAATAATTAATAATAATAAAAACAAGAAAAACAACACCCCATCCTCTTTAAGCAGTCCGCTCATCTAACACCTACAACACTGTACATTGAGGATATTTATAAAAAAAATTCAAATATAGATGTAAATAAAAAAAGACTTAATGTCAAAAACTCCACAATAATATCAGACTTCCTCAACTGATGTGGAGAGACCAGCTTTTCTGAGCGTAGCCTTTAGGAGGCGGATCTCAAGTCATTGGCCTTGGTTTGCTGCAGTTTGGTTAGAGTCAGTTGTTTCTCTGCCAGAAGCTGTGCTTCTGCACTTTCAGTCTCTTTTTGCAATTGTTGAAAGAGATTTCAAAAATCAGTCATTACCATTCTTTGCATTTTTTTTTTATTCTGCAATCATTGCATGCATCACTAATAAATATTCTAAAAAGAAAAATATTTTCCATTGTGATGAATATATATATATCAATTAGTAAGAATAAAATGTATTGTTTTTGGTCAGTTTTGACAGCTGTTTGGGGGATTATTTTATGAGGCCAAACTCTTTCTACTTTGCTGTAGGCCTATACTGAAAGGCTGAATACGTTTAAGCCTATACTCACTATAGCCTGACGGATGAACAAATAAAATTAAAATCTTATGAATAAATAGTATATCTCATAAGATACTGCATGATCCAAAAACAGAATTATTTAATACATTTTTTAAGTTTTCATTACATTTTGGGCATGAAATCCACGCTAAATCTACCCTTCTGATGGGATCAGTTTAATCCAGGTTTTTTGGATCAAAGTGATCCAGATCCTACAAAAAAGGTCTGAACAACCCAAACTAAAGGTTTGATCCGGATCAAAACCAAGATTAGATTACGTGATCTAATCCGATCATGTAATCTGTTTTTTCTTCTGAAAAACCCATTTTTAAGATTTGATCCAATCCCTTATCCAAAATCCTAGTGGATTACTTTTGAAAAACCGGGCCCTGATGTTAACCTTAATAAGTGCACGTTAATCCTGCTACCGTGGACTGGGGAAAAGCTGGATTTAATATATGCAGGTTCAGACTTTCTCCATAATAATATCATTTCAGAAAAGCATTGATTGCAAATTCTAAATAGGGAAATCAGATTATCAGCCAATGACTATTAAAGTACACCATTGTTCACCAGGCAATCAAATGTTTTGAAGTCATACATGCGACTACAGACCAAATATTCAAGAGAGCGATAAACAACATAGTGATATTTAGTCACAAGTTGTCACTATTTAAAACTGAATGAATGTGCGATTATAAAACCAACTTACCTCAATCTATAGTGACACATTTTCACCAGCATGACAAAATAATAATTATAAAAATAATAAAACATTTTATTTATATTGCGCTTTTCTCAAACTCAAAGCCCTGACAAGAGCATCAACACACAGAAGAAAATGAAATACACAAAAAAGTAAGAATAAAATATTGATAAAAATATACATATTAAAAGAAGGCCTCATAAGTTATAAGCAATAATAAAAAGATGAGTTTTAAGAAGTTTCTTAAAACAGTCCAGGGAACTGGCGTTTCTGATATTTGTGGGGAGAGCATTCCACAATTTAGGTGCACGATAAGAGAATGCCCTGCCTCCCATGCTGCTAAGTTTGCAACAGGGCTGATACAAGGTGAGCCCCTTGACTAAGAATAAGTACATGACATCCTTTTATTTATCTATGTGTACTGTTAATTTATGGCTAGTAGGAATAAAGAAAAAATATATAATTTAATAACCACTCAAATAAATGTAATGGCTAATACAAAGTGTGTTAACAGTGCCATCTCTGAAGTAAACAACAACTGCTGCTTATTTTTAATAAATCGTGCTTGGAGCAACTTAATAGATGAGTAAATACTCATTTTAGGGTTAACTATCCCTTTAAAGAACTCAGAAAGAGAGGGGGCATGTCCCAACACTGTTGTTTAACAAAGATAAGAAACTATGCCATGACTGAAAGTTTCCAAAACATGCTGGAAGACAGGAAATGAGAGAAAGAGGAGGGCAAGAGAGATTGACCATTTCCCAAGATGTTTACAGTTCATCTTTGATTATAAATGCAGTCCTCAGTCTTGTAACTTTTCCTTATAAACTAAACTACATATAACTGAATAAAACAAAGAGATACACTGACCTCATTTAGACATTTGAAGTATCATCTGAATTTTTGTTTAAAATAAGCATTTTTCTGCAGGCTACAGTGTGTAGATTCAATTTAACTTTTGAGCCAAAGAACGTTTTATTTTCATTTAAAGTGAATTATTTGAACATAAACATACTGTAGGCTATTATAAACGTAGGCTATTTCCTAATTAAGAGAAAAATGATATAAAGAGCGGCGGGTTAGCATTTAAAACAACTGCACTGCAAAACAGCTGATTGTTGCATTGCAAAGCTTCGCTTGTTTGCTTGTATACCTGTGTGAGGTTGTGGTCTTGTGGTTCTTCAAAGGAGCTGCTGTTGTTGTTTCTCATCTCCGTCCTCGTGTTTCCCCGTGTTTGTTTGTGTGTGTGTTCCGTGGTTATCACGAGTCGCCCATTGTGAACAGATCGAATGAGAGACTTTCAGACGAACCCCCTTTTTTCACTTTAAGTGGGCGGAGCAAGAATAAATAGTGGGCGGGACAACGACTGTCACTAACATTTATGTTATGGTGTTAGGTGTGTCTAATTTATTTATTTTTCAAAAAATTGCTGTGAGATGTATATGTTCCATGTACATATTTCATAATAAAGGGCAAAAAAGTTTTGCAACATGCAAAAAAAAACTCTTAAATGTTATTTCAGTGTTTTTAATGTAGGCTATTATATCTTTCCATGTGTGAGTTTATAATTATGAATTAAAACGATATTAATATTACTTAAGAATAAATAATTAATTTAATTAAGATACAATAGGTACTGTCCAACTGTTTGTTAATGCACTTTTCCAATCAGCCAATCACATGACAGCACATGACGATCTGACTTCAAACCAAACATCAGAATGTGTAAGAAAGGTGATTTAAGTGACTTTGAATGTGGCATGGTTGTTGGTGCCAGACGAGGTCTGAGCATTACAGAAACTGCTGATTTGCTAGGATTTCACACACAAACATCTCTAGGGTTTAGAGAGAATGGCCTGAAAAAAAAGTAAATATCCAGTTCTGTGGGCGCAAATGCCTTGTTGTTGTTAGAGGTCAGAGGAGAATAGCCAAACTGGTTCCAGCTGATACTGAACTTTGATACTGAAGTGCAGAAGAGCATCTCTGAACACACAACACGTCGAACCTTGAAGCAGATGGGCTAAAGCAGCAGAAGAGCACACCAGGTGCCTTTTCTGTCAGCTAAGAACAGCAAACTGAGGCTACAATTTGCACAGGCTCACCAAAATTGGACAAAAGAAGATTGGAAAACCTTGCCTGGTGTGATGAGTCTCGATTTCTGCAGCAACATTTGGATGGGAGGTTCAGAATTTGGTGTCAAAAACATGAAGCATTGATCCATCCTGCCTAATATATCAACAGTTCAGGCTGGTGGTGGTGTAATGGTGAGGGGAAGTTTTATTGGCACACTTTGGACACATTAAAACCAATTGAGCATCGTGTCTAAGCCTCAACCTACCTGAGTATTGTTGCTGGCCATGGCTTCAGATGCTAGCTGCTAGCTTCTAATGGATACTTCCCGCAGGACAACATGCATAAAAAACACACATAATCTCAGACTGGTTTCTTGAACATGACAATGAATTCAGTGTTTTCAAATGGCCCCCACAATCACCAGATCTTAATCCAATAGAGCACCTTTGGAATGTGGGGAACGGGAGATTCACCTCATCAATGTGCAGCCGACAAATCTGCAGCAACTGCGTGCTGCTATCGTGTCAATATGGACCGAGATCTCTGAAGAATATTTCCAGTACCTTGTTGAATCTATGCCACAAAGGATTAAGGCAGTTCTGAAGGCAAAAGGGGGTCCAACCCGGTACTAGTAAAATGTACCTAATAAAGTGGCTGGTGAGTGTATATTAATCCATTTACACTTAATAAATAAAGTAATTTACGGTCTTTACATAACGCACATCTCAGTGATGTAATGCTGCACATACAGCTGCATTATGGAGGCTATAGCCAAAATAACCGGTTCTGTCAGTTAAAACTGCAGTTTGATTTCTAGTTGTAGAACAGTGTACTTACTAGTACTTCCCTGTACTTAAGCATGTAAACACAAAAGCTACTATTTCCAACTGTTCAAATGTTGAACAATTAAAAAAAGGGGTTAGCAACTTAGCAATGTTAGCTTATTGTGTTGTAAATAGTCATTTTTCTGAGGTGAATATTTAAAAATTTGACCAGTAAAACTTGAACAGAACTACTGGTGGTAAATTGTTAATGTCAGCAGTAGGATACAGGAAAAGATGCTAAAATAAATGAGGGAAATAAAATGACATGAGTGTTACTTAGCTTCACTTTACCTGAAAGCACAAGCACTAAGCAATTAAAATGTCTCATGATTCACCTTTTTTTTTTTACTTTCAGAAGGTTAAAACCACATCCGTTATGAATACAAGCTTGCTGTGACCACAAAACAGGCAAGCTATAAAAAGATGAAGATATGTCCTGTATATGGGGCAAAATACACCAGCAAATCTTGAACAAGAATCTTCTGATGAAGCTCAATCACACAATGCAGACAAAAAAATAATAATTTGTTGTCATTTTTTATGAATGGTTGAAATTGTTGAAGCACCTTAGTTTTTGCACTATATGTAAATGTATTGTATATTTTGTAAGCAATAAGATAAAAAATACAACTGAGCACAATCCCTCATTCTTTTATGTTTTAATAGGTAGTGTCAGAACAAATATTAAATAAATAAAAAAAATAAATACTGAATTTTTACATGAATATGCTTTACATTAACTGATGAAAAAAATACATAAATATTTTGAAAAGATTGCATAAGGCAGAATTTAGGTAAAAATTGGGTTAAAATTACACTTTTGAACTATTTTTTTGTACACACAAACACATATATGTGTCATTCATTCATTCATTTTATTTTTGGCTTAGTCCCTTTATTAAAAAGGGGTTGCCAAAGTGGAATGAACCGCCAACTCATCCAGCATATTTTTTTTACACAGCAGATGCACTTTCTGCCACAACCTAACTCTGGGAAACCCTGATACACTCTCACATTCACACACATACACTACAGCCAATTCAGTTTATTAAATTCACCTATAGCACATGTCTTTGGACCATGGGGGAAACCGGAGCACCCGGAGGAAACCCTTCCAAACACGGGGAGAACAACTCCACACAGAAATATCAACTGACCCAGCCTGGTGCTCAAACCAGTGACCTTCTTGCTGTGAGGCGATTGTGCTACCCATTGTCATTGTTGATCATTGTTATTGTATTTATTGCTTATCATTATTTACTATTATTGTTTATTATTCATTTATTTTTGATTTATTTAAGTTAGATATGTTTGCATAAAGATGGAGTTCTTCTTCTACTTCTTCTTCTTCTTCTTATTATTATTATTATTATTATTATTATTATTAATATTATTATTAGTAGTAGAATTATTTGCAGTGCCATCTTCAATCTTTGAATTTGAATGTTTTTAAACAAGTAAAATTGTATGTATTTTTAAAATACGTAAATTGTAACACTCTCAACTGATTTATTTTTTCTTATATAAAAGTAGTATATCATTATGTTTAACTGATAATAATTATGTAAATTACAATTTTAATTTACATTTAGAAATGATAACCATTAAAAAACATATACATTTTTTATTTACACTTCAACACAAGTACACAATTTATTTAAATTTTATTTGTTAGTAGGTTTGCATAGGCAAATATTTTTAAATAAATCTTACATTTATTTATATACAGCTGAAGTCAGAATTATTACCCCCAATTGGATTTTTTTCTTTTTTATAAATTTCCTAAATGATGTTTAACAGAGCAAGGAAATTTTTACAGTATGTCTGAAAATATTTTTTCTTCTGGAGAAAGTCTTATTTGTTTTACTTTGGCTAGAATAAAAGCAGTTTTTAATTTAAAAAAAATAAAATTAAGGTGAAAATTATTAGCCCCTTTAAGCTATATTTTTTCTGATTTGTCTACAGAACAAACCCTCATTATACAATACCTTGCCTAATTACTTGTCCAGTTAACATAATAACCTAGTTAAGCCTTTAAATGTCACTTTAAGCTGTATAGAACATTCTGACTTCAACTGTATATAGCAAAGGTTTCATGACCTCATACAACTTGAAAGACTGAACAGAATGTGTGTATGTACATGTATAAAACAGTTGTGCTTTTTATAATGTAAAAAAAAAAGAATCATTAAAAGAAAAATCACATTAGCTACTGCACACGCATATTGGATATCACAAACGGCCATTTGTAACAGTCTTTCCTTGTGTTTTAGATCATGTTTTTGTAGGGTGGCCGGCACAGCATCTCAGTGGTTAGCACTATTGCCTTTCAGCAACAAGGTCGCTGGGTCAAGTCCTAGCTTGGCCAGTTGGCATTTCTGTGTGGAGTTTGCATGTTCTCACTATGTTTGTGTGAGTTTGAAGTAAATTGGCCATAGTGAGTGTGTGAATGGGACAAAGCTGAAGGAAAATGAATGAATAATGTTTTTTCTTTCCATCTCTTTTAGGAAAGAGAGCCATCAAGAAGACTTGTTCCTTTGAAGGTAGGGTTATGCATTTTCTTGATGTAGTCAACATTCATTTAGCATTTCTAAAAGTAAAGTGTATAAAAATATTTTTATTTTATTTATTTTCTTATGTAGTGTTATTTCCCAACAATTTCAGGATGAACATGTTTCTCTGACATTTATTATGTTAGCAACTAATGTTTAAATCCTTAGGTTGTTGTTTAAAAACATTAGATACATTTAAAAAGAAACGACAAAGTGTTTAAGACATCTGATGTTATGAAGTGTATTAAGTTTTTCAACTAATTTCGAGAAGAGCACGTGATATAATTGACTGCAGCTGGCCACCTATCTACACTCATTAGTTAGCCAATCAGATCCATCCTAACTCACTATAAGTAGCCTAGCCTAGCTTACTCCCTTATCTTCGTTTTCCGAAGAAACCCCCCATCCACCCCCTTTCTCCTCCTTTTCTCCTTTACAAAAAAGGGGCGCTCTCGAGAACCACCTGATCTCGTACTCCCCTCACATGCTCTATGGACCTGGCGGGAGCCCTGGGCTCAACTATCTCCGGGCTCAACTATGTCTCTCCCGGGAAAGCATGCCAAACCTGCTTACAGTTGTCAAGCAATATCTAAGTGTGAACTCTTGAAATGTGTTTTTTTTTTGTGTGTGTGTGTGTGTGTGTGTGTGTGTGTGTGTGTGTACATATTTTATATTATATGTTTTAACAAATTTAGTTTTAACATTATTACTTTGTTGTAATTTCTCTGAATATAGTTCCCTCATCTATTCTTGTAGGCGGTTTACTAAAAAAATACAAATATATAAAAAATACATTTCAGCTTGCTTGCCACAAGAGGTCACTAACATGTTGTACAATTAGGTAACAGTGTGTTATAAGTGTTTTTTTTTTTTCTTTCTTTTTTTCTTTCTTTCTTTCTT